CCGGAGATCACGGGTTCCAATCCCGTTGAAGCCCTGATTTTTTTGTCAGGCTTCTTCTTTCCAATTGCTTAAATTGGAATTTACTGCGATGATCATTCTTCACTTTCATCTACAATTGATCTTGAATTTGCGAATTAACAACGGTTAAAATCGCATTATTGTGAAAGTACTGAGTTAGAGGTATTATACAGTGTTTGTTTCTTCTGCTTCAGGTCGACTTGTTTTTCGAAGCAGTCCCACTATCCCGATAACGTGTGTAATAAGAAGCTATTTCTTAAGAGATGATTCCTCAGTATATTGCTTTGCACATTTCTACTGTGCACGATTTTCGCGTCATCAGCGCGCGCACAGGATCGCGTGCACATACACAACTTAAGAGATTTCCCTCAAGCTGAGCCGGACAGCGAAATAAATGCTCGTTTTCTCTTAAACGAGCATTGTAAACTATATTTGTTATTACATAACAGACCAATTTCGATATATTAAAAGTCAGCCTATATAGGCTATGGGGAATAAACCCCACAAACTGTAGTTATTTCCCAGAGCCTCGTACTGAGGTCTATTGTTTTAGGCTGAATTTTAACATATCGAAATTTGTCTATTTTGGTGTACAAATTATCTGCTTTAAGTCAAAATTTAAGAAACAAAATTGTTCGGAAGGAAAAAAAGAGCACAAAAAAAGTTACTCGAGGCTGTGACTTATGACCTCGAAAACAACGATTCAAGGAACGTTTTGAGTCAATGTCGCTTAGAATTGTGTGATTTTCCACAAATTATATATTACATTGTCCACGTACCCGAGACTTTCTACCTATCAAGATTTCTTTCAAGTACGGTCGAACCTCTTTTAGGCGGCCCCCTTTTAAGCGGTTAACCTTTATTTCGTGGCCAGCGGCCAAAGTCCCGGAAAAATCAGCTATACACTGTAACAAAAACCTCCATTCAACGGCCACCTGTATTAAGCGGCCGCGGCCGTCGCCGTCCTAAGGGTCATTTTGTTTTGTTTTATACCTCTATTAAACGGCCAGGAAGATTTGAGGTTGGACGTTTTAGCCAGATGAAGGTAAAAGAATGACAATGTAAAAACGTAATTGTTTCTTAGGCTCTTGGGAACGTTATGGACCGTGTTATAACCATCATTGTTCTACTTTTTCTCCACTTGCATTTGTTTGTACTTACATTTGATGAACTGAAAACTGGACGACGCCCAACGTTGTTTTCGGGTGAACCTCTATTATCACATACTAAAGACCCTTATTGCCAAAGAATATGTATACTTTCTGGATCTCCGGAGGTACGCACGTACACGGTACCACCCAGCGGTGTAAAGAACGTCTTGATGAATAAATGGCACTTAATGCAGAAACAGCCTTGAAGGAGATATGTAAAGAGCCTCCCATTATTTAGTACGAAAGAGGAAAATAACTCGAAGGCACACACGTGAGATCCAAACTCTAAAGAGCTATAAAGGCAAAGAAACTGCATTTATTTAGCAAACACCAGGAGTTGTGTAGCTCTGTCACAAACTTTTAATTTCTTACATATATTACCCAGAAGGCCTTAGTGAATACGCGCGCTTGGTATTTGACTAGGAGCACTGAGGGGATCACTGGAGATAAATATTCGTTCTTTGTATGACTTTTATCTCTCTCCTAAGTAAAAAAGTAATTTATGCAGTAGTGACCGATAACAATCTGTAATCTTAAAATGTGAAATAAATATTCCGTACTCTTGAAGTTGCTGTCGCCAAAAGTGTGTGTGAAGATCGGGCAGTGGAATGTAAGGGCAATGTTTGAGACGGGTAAGTGTGCCCAGGTGACCAAGGAGATGCGGGGTACGGTATTAGCATTCTGGGCGTAAGTGAAATGAGATGGAGCTCCTGTGGGAAGTTGATGATGGCCACTAGAGAAGCTGTGCTATACTCAGGAATGGACGAAGGTGAGAATGATGAGAGAGGGGTTGGCTTAATTCTATCCGGAGATGCTGCAAAAAGTCTGCAGAATGGGAACCAGTGTCTGAGAGGATTATCAGGGCCAGGTTCAACTCTAGGTGGCAGCAGGTCACCATCATACAATGTTTTGCCCCAACAAATGAAGCAACAGAGGAAGCGAAGGATGACTTCTATGAACACCTGCAGGCAGTTGTGGAGCAGGTGCCACGTAGGGATGTGAAGATTGTCATGGGAGACTTAAACGCTAAGGTGGGGACGGACAGCACGGGTACGTAGGGAGGAGGTGATGGGTAGACACGGAGCAAGAGCTGAAATGAATGACAATGGTGAGATGATGAGATGTTGAGATAGGCTGACTTCTGTCAGGTAAATGAGTTGGTGATTGGTGGAACACTGTTCCCTCACAAGGAGTGTCATAAGCGGACATGGATGTCTCCTGATGGTGGTACGGAGAATCAGATCGACCGTATGGCTTTTAGCAAGAGATGGAGGAGTTCGCTGCAGGATGTTCGTGTCAAGCGTGGGGCAGATGCTGGGTCAGACCACCACCTGCCGCTGGCAAAAGTCAGACTAAAGATTGCCAAAGTAAAAAAGTGGGAAACTTACCGAGTGCGTCTTGAGGTCAGTAAGCGCAGAGATCCAGAGATAAGGGACATGTTCAAGCGGATGCTACAAAACAGATTTGAGGCTCTGCAGCAGTTGATTGAGGAGGAGGAACTCCCTGTGGAGGAAGAATGGAGGCAGATCGAGCAAGGCTACGTGGAGACCTGTGAGAAGATGCTGGGTCGGGCGAAGACAAATAAGAAAGAGTGGATCAGTAAGGAGACCTGGGAGATAATTGAGCTAAGAACGAAGGCGAAAAATACTTTGAACATGGCCAGGACAAGAAAGCAGAGGAGGGATGCGAGTAAAAGGTACCAGGAGCTGAATAGGGAGGTGAAGAGAGGCTGTAGGAGAGACAAGAGGGTGTATGTGGAGTCAGAGGCCGAGAGAGCTGAGGAAGCTGGAAAGAGGGGTAATATGAAGACTTTGTATGAGATCACAAGAAGGCTGAGTGAGAGATTTCAGGGTACGTGTAAGCCGGTGAGAAATGAGGCAGGTGTGTTGCTCGGGACTGTGGAAAAAGAGATGCACCGGTGGCGGGAGCACTTTGAAGGAGTGTTTAACCATGAGGAGCCGCCCAACCAGTCAGAGGTAGAGCCAAGTGACGAACTAAACTTCAGGACTGGTCACATTACACGTGCTGAGATCAAGAACTCTATAAAGAACTTAACGAACGGGAAGGCACCAGGATGTGACAATAGACCACCAGAGGCAATTAAGGCTGGGGGCGAAGTGTCAGAAAAGGTTCCTTTGGATTTCTGTAACCAGACATGGAGTAAGAAGAAAGGTTTGTTGAACAAGCTACAAAAGAAAGACGATCTGAGCCACTTTAAGAACTGGCGTGGCGTCATGCTTTTGAACATGGCAATTAAAGTGTTCTGTAGAGTGATCTTGCAGCGTATCAAGACCGCACTGGATGGAAAACTGCGAAGCTGTACGGACCAAATAGCAACGCTAAGGATTACTGTGGAACAAAGCACTGAGTGGCAGTCCTCTTTGTACATCAACTTTATAGATTTCGAGAAGGTTTTCGATAGCATCGGAGAGAGGTGTTGTGGAGGTTGCTGCGCCACTACGGGATGCCGGTCAAGATAGTTAACATCATCAGAGCTACTTATGAGGGTTTTTCTGCGCAGGTGGTACACAATGGACAGAAGACCGAACCATTGAACATGAGGACTGGCGTCTGACAAGGCTGCCTGCTATCTCCCTTGCTTTTTCTGGTTGCCCTTGATTGGGTGACCGGGACAGCCTTTCAGTGACAGAAGACGTGGTACCCAGTGGTCCTTCACAACATCTTTAGAAGATCTTGATTTTGCAGCTGATCTGGCCCTACTGTCGCACAGAGTGCAGGAGATGAGAAATAAGACATAAGGTGCAAAGGTAGGCCTGAAGATCAATGCTACAAAGACAAAGATGATGCGTATCTGTACCAAACGCAGCGATGGTGTATTCATCGAAAGGGGAGCAGGTCGGGGAGGTGGACGAATTCACGTACCTCGGGGGCATTGTTAGTAAAAAGGGAAGTACTGACGAGGACATCCAGGCAAGCATCGTGAAGGCAAGGCAGGCATTTGCGATGTTGAAACCAATGTGGCGGTCCTACGGTGCTCACAACTAAGATCAAGTTGAGAGTCTTTGGGTCAAACGCGAAGGCTGTGCTTCTGTATGGTTCTGAAACTTGGCGGCTGACCAGGGAATTGAAGCAGAAGCTGCAAGTGGTCATCAACAAGAGCCTGAGGAACATCCTGCGGATTTGGTGGCCTTGACGAATACGCATTGAAGAGCTCTGGAGACAAGCAAAGCAGCGACCGGTAGAGCAGGAGAAAAGACAGAGCCTGGGTTGGATTGGCCACACGCTGAGGAGACCAGACGGATACATAGCCAAGAGGGCGATAGAGTGGAACCCACAGGGGAAGTGCAAGAGAGGCAAACCCCAACACACCTGGAAGCGCACAAGAATGGCAGAGTTGGAGGAGAGACAGCTCACGTGCCAGGAAGCGAAGCGCACTGCTTAAAATAGGGTCAGTTGGCGGGCACTAGTGGAAGACCTATGTTCCATCAGGAACGAAGAGGATTGAGTGAGCGAGTGACTCTTTAAATTTAGTGGCCAATAATCTGTATCCCTTCTCTAAAATCCCCTCATAATCTATAATTCTAAAACCCTAACAGGGCCTCTAAGGGTTTGGGCTGGTTAGCGTACGTTGGACTACGATAGTGATAAAGTTTCTACGTGGAAAATAGCTGGTGTGGGATTATTATTATAATTATTATTATTATTATTATTATTATTATTATTATTATTATTATTATTATTATTATTATTATTACATAGAGAATGGGTTTTTCGTAACTATTCTAGAGTAGGGTTACAAAATCAAGCTGATCACACCAGCATAGGGTAAGGTCGGTAAGGGTTTCAGTTCCCCAGCGGCACATGAAGCTTTTCTGACTAGCTTTCCTGCCGACCACTGAAAAGACCTGACAACACGGTCTAAACATAATGCGGAGGCGACATAAATTTAAACCGAAGCGAAACGAATTTCGGTCTTTTATTCCGTGAAAAGAGCTCAGTCGCACTACATTCTTTCTTTTTTATGAGAATATGTTTTATTAGAATATCGAGGCTGAAATTTGCGAAATTTTAAGAATGTTTTAAGCCCGCCGTTTTCCGCGTTGCGCCCTAACGTCCCCTAACTGTGTAACGTCCTATAACTGAAGGCCCGGAAGAGGTTATTCCGAAAGTAACGTGAGTCGTTACTTTCCGTGAATTTTACGGCAGTAGTGGTACAAATGCATGTGAAATAGTAAGGTGTTTTATTTCCTTGGATTGTAAATCCTACGCACATTCAGGAAAATCCGCACCAAAAAAACTCGAGAAGCTAAAGTTTCCTTTCCCTCTGCTATGGAGTCGATAGTGAGACCGCTGTAGCACTGGCTGTCGCATGAAATCACACGAGGTCATGTGATACGATGTACGATTTATATTGATGCGCATGTGTCAATGTGCGAAGTCATGCCGGAAAATGGTGGACTAATCGTCTCTGGAGAGAATTTCCGTTTCTCTTCAGCGTTTTTCGCTGACCTGTTGGTAGAATGGATGAAATTAACGAGCAGGATTTCTTTGGACAAGACCTTCTTTCAGAAGCTTTAGGACAAAGTGGCCTCAATCTCGAGGATTATTTGGGAAATGCACCGGGCAATGTTCTGTCCCAGTCCATGCTGGATGTTGAGGGTTTTGGTTCAAATAATTTTGACTTCCTCGATGATATCAATTTGAATAGAGATTTTGTTCAAGATACACGTTATATAGCCTTGACGACATCGAATAACAGTGATGTAACTTCTAACTATGCGAGTGCCCGAGATAAGTCTCAAGTTTCTGGAGTCCAGCAAACTTTTTTTCAACAACCACGAACTATACCAAGTCTGACATCCCCTGGAATATTTTTTCAAAGTCCACGACAAGTTTCGGTTACGAGTCAAAATCAGCCGTTAGTCCCTAAAACATCCACCACGCCAGGCGCACAAAGGCTGCAAAGCTCTCCATCACCGATTTTACAAAATTTATTAAACAGTGGAAATATAAACCCCTCTGCAAGCAATGTCACTGACACCACTGTCCAAAAGGAACTCACCAAGAAGTAAGTTAGTAATTTTTAACTTCGAATAGAGTTTTTCAACATCCTTGAATTTAGTCAGCTCAAGGGCGTTGTTTTCCTCCAATAAAGCGATAGTTTTGTGAAGTGCTAAAGATCGCTTTTTCCTGTTCACTTTCCGTCACACAGTCTGCTTGTATTTTTGTATTTCCGGTTTCTTTGGCTTCGCTCCACACCAGTGAAAAGGATAAACAGGCCATTAAAGTTTAGTTTTACCTCCTGAGAAAACAATCAAATGCCATTTGAAATAATTCATGTACTAAATAGTAATAACTTGGTCGCAAATGAAGTAAAACAAACTCCTTGGTCATCTGTTGATTTACTGACAGTACAATAATTTTTTATTGATCAAGATGGGGAAAAGGGTTCTCAAACCTACAGGAATCAGATGTTCGGAGGATGTTAATGCCCCCTGGCATAGTGATTTGAGAAATCTCCAACACATAAGAATCGGCAGGAATCAGTTTTATTAGTAATGGCTTTTGTCCTCACACACCTACAGTAACTATTTTGATAAAACCTTTGTCACAGAGTGTCATGCTCTATTATCAGTAAGGAAGAATGGCAACTATACAAGAATTTCTTGAGCAGTCCATGTAAAATGCAGACTGCAGACTGTCGGCTGGGGATAAAGTGCAGACCAACAGGGCTAAAAAAAAAAGAAGTGCTGTCTGGTCATCTGGGACAAGTAGATTTTCCTTCTGGGCAAGTAGCTTTTCATTCACACTTGCCCATGGGCAAGGGATCAGGCAAGTTGTTTGTGAACTAAAGCATTAAAAGAACCAGCTAAGACTTGCCCAGGTCAAGCAAAATTTGAAAGCTACTTGTCCCAAGAGCAAGCTTGTGGGGGGGTGGGTGGGGTACTCCCAGAAAAATTAGGTGGGGGTGTGCGGCCAGCTTCCCAAAACCCTTACCCTATTTATGACCAAAATCGTTGATTTTCCCTACCCTATTTATGAGCTGACCAAAAATTCCAAACCCTATTTATGACCTGACCCTTAAATCAAATTCCTGTTTCAGACTTGCATTGTAATTAGTTCCCTAGTTCAGACCAATGTTAAGTTACTGTAAACATAATTTGTGAAGGGTTTTTGTTGATTTTCTCTTCTTAAGTGGCTTCTTCTTAAAAACATGCCCATATCAAGGCTAGAGTGCAAAAACCATACTCTATTTATGACCAAAATGGCCAAAATTGGCTTAAATTGATACCCTATTTATGACCAAAACGGCTGAAAAACCATACCCTTTGGGGCCACACATACCTATATAGCCCATGTAAGGGAGTACCCCCCTCCTGGGGGGTGAAATGCAGACTGCAGACCATTTAACTGAATCATGTTACCGTTTCCATCATTGTGAGCTAACTTTAAACAGGCTGACTGGACCATTATGCAGGCTGACCTGAGTCATTTTCAGGTTAGCTCTTGATAATGGAAATAACATGATATACACTCAAAAAGTCTGCAGTCTGCAGTCTGTATTTTACACTGACTGATTCTTGAGAGAACACTGTCTCTGCTTGTACTGGAGGAAACAAATTCGGCAATTTAGTCTTGAACTCTTCATGAATCATGAAGTTTGGACAGGAGAAATAGCCATTCAACTTTGTAGTGTTTGCAGAATTTTGTAGAAGACACAAGCAGTGTTATTACTTGTTGGTCCCATTTTAAATGGTTCTGTATGCAACAGGATTTTTTTCAGTCCTTAATGTTTAACAGTGCTTCCCTGCCTCAATGACATAGTTTTTGTCTTAGCTTGAGGAGTTCTGTATAGGTTTACTATATCACATCTCAACCTGCACAAAAAATATTTTCATATAATAATTATTATAACTGCAAGTAATGCATAGTTGTAAGCAAAGTGTAATTAACTGGTTTGTGACCTATAATGAAACATTCATACCTGTGGCAAACTTGCAATGTGAATTAACAGTATTACATGTTCATGGACTTCTTTCTTGGCTCCTAAAGTACATTGATTTTTATGACAGAGAAATTTCCTTGTTCATTTTTAGAGATGTTTCGAGGTTATGGTCAAACCATGATGTAAGTCTGAACCATGTTGCAGAGGTAAGCTTCCTTGAATTTGTTAAGATGTATATTTAAGAAATAGAAAACATGTACCATATTTCTACTGAGTTATGGAAACACGAGTGGGATTTTGGGAGAATGAGAAATGTTGTGAAAATACAAGCTGTGGTTCCACAGCTTTTTTAAGTTCTCCCAGACTTCCAAGAGTGTTACTATAACTTGATAGAAACATGGAGAACGTGTTTTCTATTTGTTTTAGAAAAGTCTGCGATGAAAAAAAGAAGACAACTTGTTTACTTTGATCATCAAAATGCGTTTGCTTGTGCCATCATTATGTCAACAGCTGATATGCTAGTTCTGTGTTTCTATCAGTATCGATCAGCGCGAGTATTTTCTTTGGGGTATTTTCTAAATAATTATAAAGTACTTTTCACTGAGGAGAGGGTTCAATTTGATTTACCTGTCAAAATAAACTGCTTCTGATCAAAATGACAAGCACTCAATCGTTCACCTTATGATTTGTGATTTTATGTGAAATGCACACAAATTGTGGCTCAAGGTTTGAACACACATATAATTTAATTTATTGAACATATTTTTAAGAAAAACTTTGAGGAAAAAAGTCATGAATACTTCAAGTTTTTTGGTATGAGTTGTATTGGTTCATGCATATTCTGTTATAAATAAACAATTATTCGCTGAAGGTAAGGTGAACATTGGTGAACATTCACCAATGTTCACCAAGTTTAAGGCGAATAATTGTTTTAGTATAATTTCTGAGGTGAAACACAGAATAACGACTAAAACAGACTGTTTGTTTGCATACACGCATGCAGCCGTAGTTTTAATAATAAGCTTACCTGTAAGATTACATTGATTGTGAGTCAATTTACACATCAAGTTCGGCAGTAAAACAAACGAGCAAAACACTACCAAGCATAAATTCATTCCATACCTTTGTTTTACTGTTGTTGACCTCATTCACAGCTGTCATCATTGTCAAAAAATGAGTAACTTCAGGGCCTCTTCATATGAGCATGGTCAACCGGGCTGGCTCGGTTTCCGAGATCTCGCCTCGCCACTCTTTCCTTCGTAAAAATTTTGATGTGTTCATATGAGAAGCCGGGCTGGCCTGGTTACCAAGATCTCAGTTTTTGCGACTGAGATCTTGGTAACTGGGATTAAAATTTTCCCATATGATCACTCCAGCCTGGGTAACCGGGATGAAACTTTTTAGACAAAATAGCTTCACTTTCGCAACATAGCGGCCAAAATGGCAAACTTTTTGTCTTATATGTATTTCCCCTTTAGGAGTATGCAAATTAGCTTTATTAGTAAAGTTACAAGAGTCCACAAAGCTGCGTCAGCCGGGAACGATTCAAGTTTATGTTTCACCATTTTGGTTGTGTTTCTTGGATTTCATCCTGGTCGACCGGGCTGAAATTTCCTATATGAACAGACAACAAAATTTGTCCTGGTAACCAAGTCAGCCTGGTTACCGGGCTCATATGAAGAGGCCCTTAGTTTGAAGAAAAATTGATTTCGGTCAGTTGATCTGACCTGCTGGCGATCAACATAACCACTGCATTTGCAATTCTTAAATTCCTTGAATTCGAGTTCTTGAAAGGATTTTTGGTCCAAGGGCGACAGCAGTCATTTTGAAAATTCTCCATCCTTCTCAAATATCCTGGACTTGGAGTGATGTCTTTTAAATAAACAAAAATCTGATTCAGCAACTGTCCTTCATGTTTACCCTTCGAGATAGCAAAGGTGGCAAGCTTAGTAACCAGGCCTCAAAATGTTATATTCACCGCCTGGAACAGTGAATTTAGTGTCAAATAAGGAATCGCTTGACCAATCAGATTGCTGGAAATTCTTTGTTCAGCTCTGAAATTGTACTAATAGATAATCTAATTATAGCAAGGATCCTGAACAACCATAAAACACAATGCAACAAGGGATGAAACACTTTACAGTATCATTGAAGTGTAAGTTACCTCTGTCTGGAGAGATGCCTATTGAGAGAAAAAAGATGCATCTTATATCCAGTGAGAGAAGTCTTGCTTTTCTCTTTTCTCTTGAATGGACTGGAAGTAGCTCGTGACTTTAGTGATTCCTCAATAGACTAATTGAGCAAACAGACTGCAACTCAACTCTCTATGATATGTTTGCCTTTGGATATTTTGGATTGTCTGGGGACAAACCAACAAAGTAACAGGAGTATTCACATGTGCCTCATGATATGCCTGTTTTTCTCTTGGGTACATTTACTCTTAGTAGTTATTATTTCTTTCTGATTAATAATTGTCATTTCAGAACAAGGGTACTGAGAATGTGGAGAATGAAGATGAGGAAGATGATGAGGAAGAAGAACTTGGGCATACAGATACTTATGCAGAATATGTTCCAAGTAAATGTAAGTATTACTTTATATTCTTGGACTGAGTTCAATTTCGTTTCTGAAGTATAGAAAAAGACATGTTTTTAGAGTTTATACTTTCATCATCAGTGGCAAAATAAATTTCTGTGATATGATTACATAGGGTAAACGAACGATAATTGCAAGGAAGAAAATACAGAAAAGGATAGAAAACTTGATGCAAGGGTTTTGATGTGATATTACATGGAATAATGTATGCTACCCCGGGGATGCTACCCATCTACCACTATCTGTTAAAAGGAGCCATGGCTGAAAAGCAGTTCAAGCTTTAAAGTATACCTTACTGGTCAAGTTAAAGTGCCTATGAAGTCAAAAATAATTCCTGCTTGTTTGAAAGGCTTTTCAAAGTAAAGAAGAATGGCGTTTTCCTTTTTGGAATGTCTTTTTTTGTTTTAGAGATATTTACGTTTTTGTAAGGAAAGTGATGATGTCATAGGTGGTTCCACTAAAACAGCACAACACTCAATGGAGAATAACTCTAGAAATATTAAAGCAGTGTTCTTTAAACTTGGCACCAGAAATGTACATCACAAAAAGAAAAATAATGACACCCGTCGTGCCATTGCCATGACAACAGTTATGCCGCTGGGTCTGAAATTCTGGAGTCTAAAATTCTGGAGTCTAAAATTGCCAGATTTTATCTTAAACAAGGATCATCCACTCCCACCAATCTAATGGGGAGAGTTAAGACAATATGGGAACTATGTGTGTTCCGAGCAAGACCCTCTGTCCCACTTGAAAGGTTGCAAANAGATTTTATCTTAAACAAGGATCATCCACTCCCACCAATCTAATGGGGAGAGTTAAGACAATATGGGAACTATGTGTGTTCCGAGCAAGACCCTCTGTCCCACTTGAAAGGTTGCAAATGGGGATATTTGGTTTTTCTCAGAAAGAGACTGGAGCCAAGAGTGTTGCCATGGCAACAACATAGTAGTTTTCATTCTGTTTCTTTTGTGATATACATTTCTGATGCCAAGTTTGAAGAACACTGCTTTAATATTTCTAGAGTTATTCTTGATTGAGTGTTGTGCTGTTTTAGAGGAACCACCTATGACGTCATCACTTTCCTCATTTGCATAATACAAAAACATGAATGTCTCTAAAACAAAAATAGATATTCCTAAAAGGAAAACGCCATTCTTCTTTACTTTAAAAAGCCTTTCAAATAAGCAGGAATTATTTTTCCTTCATAGGCACTTTAAAGAACCAAAATTTTATTGGTTACAATACGTGGTATTTCCCTTATATAAGTAAAAAAGTAAAATAAATAAATTAGCTTTGTTTAAGGAGGGTAACACACAACAGTCTTATGACTGACAAACCCGTGGCCCTCGAATTCCGATTGAAGTGGAATTTAGAAATGTTGATTTTTGTGAGAGAGGAAAACTGGAGAACCCGGAGAAAAACCCTCAGAGCAAGGTGAGACCCAACAACAAACTCAACCCACTTATGACACCAGGTCCAGAATTTGAACTCCGGCCACATTGGTGGGAGGTGAGCGTTCTCACCACTGTGCCACCCATGCTCCCCTATATCTGTAAAAGCCATGTTAGCCTTTAGACCAGTTAAAGCTTGCTATACATACTTATTGCTTTGTAAATTATTTCAGTACGTATAGGACATCGACATCCTGATCCAGTGGTGGAAACAAGGTAATAGACTTGCTACTGATAGGTATATATTGTAGGTCAAAATGAAATTCTTTTGTCCCTTAACCCTAATTATTCTTGTATTCGTGGATCATGAATAACTAGGGTTAGAAGAGAAAGGAAATTGAGGGCCAAACTAGGTTAATATCATTTTAACCTGAATTTCATTTTGACCTATAACATATACATGTAGCTGTAATGGTAACTAAATGAGATCTTACTTTTATTGTGCGTGATCAGAAATTGATATCGCAGCACTGAAGTGGGTTGCTTACATACGCTTCAAATTTCAGAAATTTCCAGTGATGAATCACTGCTTATCTCTTACTTCTTGCTGTTTGCACAGTTCAGCCAACTTTTTCTGTATACCAGGTTCATCTCTGTGAGCTATCTAATGTAAAAGGGATCTTTATGTAGGTGATGAAAGGCAGGTAACTGGCAGTCACTGTACAAGCTAGCTCATGCTAGATGGCAAAACCACATTGTAAAAAGTTTATGAGTTTGAATAAAGATTAATTTGTCTAAATTCCTCTTCTTTTTCTTAGCTAGTTGATACTTTGGAAAACTTCACTAATATACACTGAATGAATGTCGCTTTCTGAAAGGAATTTATGGCTTAAATGTTGAAATATTTGAGTAAATTTGAAGAGTTGCATGGAAAAAGACTCTAACTGACATCTGATAGACTGTGAGATTCTTCTGACTAGCAATTGCTCTCTGCTTCCTCCTATGAAAAAAAGAAGAATTTGACCAGAGATCAAGAGTCACTTAGAACTTTCTTTTTAAAGTAGTGTCACATTTTTTTTATCATTTACTATTCTCAAAGAATGGTTAAATCTCAATACAAAATGCAATGTGATTTTGAGATGGCATTACCACATTAAATTGGTGGCATTGAGAGAAAACATATTCTTGTCCTGGGCTCCATCACTACATGACATTTAGTTCATAGGGTGTTATAGTCATAAGACAGACATTGGTTACCTTTGACAAGTCAGGTACTCCAGTGATTTTGAGTACATTTCAAATTTACCCAATGTCAAGCTTACAGATTTACATCTTCATAGTAATAATGTTACTAAAAACTGATGTCAAGTGAAGAATGATCATCGCAGTAAATTTTCCAATTTAAGTAATTGGAAAGAAGAAGCCTGAAAAAATCAGGGCTTCAACAGGATTCAAACCTGTGACCTCTGCAAATACCAGTGTGATGCTCTACCAACTAAGCTATGAAGCCACACATTGGGAGCGAGGTCAATTAATTGAGTTCTTATCTTCCCGTGAGGACTGAAATGATGTGGAGTATATATGAAATAATTCATCAGGGTTCATACGGGTCCTGGAAAACCTGGAAAGTCCTGGAATTTGTCTCTGGCATTTTCCAGGACTGGAAAGTCCTGGAAAAGGGCTCCTGGTCCTGGAAAGTTCTGGAAATCTGTTAAACTCAAGTAAAAAATATAAAATGTATGACAGACAGTAAGGAGAATTAACATTGAGATCTTGGGAGTGAAAGGGTTAATGTGAATTTTAGCGTCCTGGAAAAATCAGTCAGAGTCCTTGAGAAGTCCTGGAAAGTCCTGGAAATTTGTTTCTGAAAAAGGGTACGAACCCTGATTCATATTTGAACTGCGGTTGTAGATGAAAGTGAAGAATGATCATCATAGTAAATTTTCCAATTTAAGCAATAAATTGCTTAAATTAAATTGGAAAATTTACTGCGATAATCATTCAATAAATTGCTTAAATTGGAAAATTTACTGTGATGATCATTCTTCACTTTCATCTACAGCCACAGTTCAAATATGAATTGTTTCATACATACTCCACATCATTTCACTCCTCATGGGAAGATAAGAACTCAATTAATTTGCCCTCGCTCCCAATGTGTGGCTTCATAGCTCAGTTGGTAGAGCATCGCACCGGTATTCACAGAGGTCATGGGTTCGAATCCCGTTGAAGCCCTGATTTTTTTTCAGGCTTCTTCTTTCCAGNGTTCTGGAAATCTGTTAAACTCAAGTAAAAAATATGAAATGTGTGGCAGACAGTAAGGAGAATTAACATTGAGATCTTGGGAGTGAAAGGGTTAATATGAATTTTAGCGTCCTGGAAAAATCAGTCAGAGTCCTGGAGAAGTCCTGGAAATTTGTTTCTGAAAAAGGGTACGAACCCTGATTCATATTTGAACTGCGGCTGTAGATGAAAGTGAAGAATGATCATCGTAGTAAATCTTCCAATTTAAGCAATAAATTGCTTAAATTAAATTGGAAAATTAAGTGCGATAATCATTCAATAAATTGCTTAAATTGGAAAATTTACTGCGATGATAATTCTTCACTTTCATCTACAGCCACAGTTCAAATATGAATTATTTCATACATACTCCACATCATTTCACTCCTCACGGGAAGATAAGAACTCAATTTGACCTCGCTCCCAATGTGTGGCTTCATAGCTCAGTTGGTAGAGCATCGCACCGGTATCGCGGAGGTCACAGGTTNACCATTCTTCACTTTCACAATGAGTTATGTTTTGTGAGATTAGTGGTGTTACACACGAGTGCCAGTAACATAGGAGACGCCGTACGCGACCAGACACTGGAAACTAGGTACAGTCACACCTCTCCATAGGGTCAATACGGACACCTATATTAAAGACAGATAACTTAGTCCCATTGATGGATTTACATAATCTCTTCCTCTACAATACGACCACCTCCATACTAAAGACACTCCGATCTGCCCCTTTGGTGCTCGTATTTTAAAAGCGGCCCTCTGTTAAGCGGTCACCCTCCATTAAGAGGTCACCATTCAAATTCCCGAAATTCGCCTCACATATTTACTGTATATTTGACCTCCATTAAGCGTTCACCTCTATTGCGCGGACGCGGTCACCGTTGGACTTCCCAATTGAGTGATTTATGGTAATTCACCTCTGTTAAACGGTCACCTTGTTACATTAGATGGTCAACCGGAGCACAGTTTTATGGTTACGAGGAACTTAGGCTGGCGCTGAACAAAAGTCAGTGACATGCTTCACCAAATTAAGTTTCGTAGCCCAAAATAACAGACGACCATAACTGANAGTACTCCCAGAAAAATTGCGTGGGGATGTGTTGCCCGCTTCCCAAAATCCTTATCTTATTAAGACCACGATCTGCTATTTTCCCTACCCTATTTACGGGGTGCGGCCATACTCAATGGGTATATCGCAAGGGGTACTCCACCGAACTTTAACAGAAACCTGACGACAAGCAATAGAAACTGGTTATGTTGTGGGTGTGGCCTTCATTGACTTCAAGAAAGCCTTCAATCGTGTAAATCATGACATCCTGCTAAACAAGCTTCAAAGTCAATTTAGCATACGCGGCCCTCTATTAAACTGGTTGACGAGTTACCTTACATCTAGACAACAGTACACGGTTCTAAACGGGCAAAGATCTAGCCTCGGCTCAGTGTCTTCTGGCGCCCCCAAGGGAGTGTCCTGGGGCCCACACTTTTTACTTTTTACACAAGCGATCTCGTAGAGGCCGTCCAGTCTGGGTCCGCCGACATGTACGCAGATGACACCACCATATACTGTATCGGGAAGACCATAGTCGAAGTGTCAGCTGCGTCAAATCAATCCCTAACAGAGTTGTACGTTTGGTGTGTGAAGAACAAGCTGACACCACACCAAAGAAATCAGAATGCATGCTAATTTACAGAGGATCGTTCACTGGCCCCTTCCCACCCATATACCTCGGACACTTTTTCAACTGTTTCACGAAGCCAACACTTAATCATTTCATGTTTTATTGGTTCACTGGATTGTCTATGCCCTTGGTCAGACTTCGTTTATGGTTTCCATTACTTAAGTAAAGACCGCCCGACTAGTAAGTAATAGTAATTGGACCGAGTGGAGTGCAATTCAGGGAGTAATCGCGCGAGTAATTTCAAAATCTGAAATTACGAGCGCGATTACTCCCTGAATTGTACGACACGAGGTCCAATCACTAATTAATCGTATCTATAATAAATTTCGGAATTAAAAATATCTTTCAGAAACTTGTTTTGAACGAAAACGTCTGTAGCGCTTTTCGTAAGTTTTGAAAACTGTAGGAGACATTGCGAAGGAAGCCATTAAAGCGCGCGTAATTGACGTGCGAATCACGTGGGTATCCAATTACAGGTATCCAATTACAAAAAGTTCAAATTGGATACCTGTAATTGGACACCGTGATCGCGCCGATTACGTGACAAATAGGCGCGCGGAGAACCAATCACGATCGAGAACTTTGTTACAGATTTGATTACATGGAAAATTGATCCAACTATTATTCTTAGCTTGCACAGTACGATCATCTGTGTTAGTGAACTGTTGTTGGTGACTGATGTTTTTAAAACCTGAGAGGAAGTCATATGAAAAATGATTGTCCTCACTTATTCTCAGTAAATGGTGTTATAAAGTTTGGATTGGTGAAACTGGTTGATACGGCTGGTTGTAAGACTTCTGTTAAAGTCGTCAAGTGATTGGTCAGAACTGAATTGTCACTTTTCTACATGATCACATCACAGTCTTTTTTTCTTCATCTTTTTTTATTACTCGAATTTCTGTCTTCTCGTTATTTAATACAAAAGCAAACGTTAGTTTCGTCGTTTGTGACTTGGACTTGGATAAACTTTTAAGGTTTTCTATCTAGAGCAGCATGGATTTCCCGCAGTAGTTCGTCAACTACGATTTGAAGATGTTTATTTTGTAACTTGATGAACGAGGTTTCGTCTTTTAAACTCATGAGGCATTCTTTTACTTTTACAAGATCGTATCTGCAATAGTCAATCAATAACTGCTGTTCTTGTTCTTCCAGAGTTTTCATCGAAGCGCTCCAATCTTGAAACACTGAGCTTTTAGACTCTGTTTTTGAGTGAGATTTTTTACTGTCAAGATGTTTGTCTTGATTACCTTCATCCACAACTTTCCCTGTGATTGTTCGTATCCTTGGGCTTGCGATAACGTCAAGAAACTCCACGAATTCTTCATAATTCAATCCACAACTTGCTCTTAAAACAACCTGACACAAAAAACAAACACAAAATTACCACTTAATAGAACGTATGCACATGACGTCATGGCAGCCATATTGTTGTTCCAAAGCATGTTGGTGTACCAAACCAATCCTGTGGGTGTTCGACTCTTTTCTCATGTAAACAATTTCTTTTGTTCCAATAAATTTGCATGGCTGCTGGACACGTGAGTGCATACGCTCTTTAGAAGAAAGTCAACAGGACAGTTCATGAAAATTAAAGATGATGAACCAAGCATACTGCATGCAGGCTTTGGACAGCTGTTACTATTATAAATAGACAACTTCCTTTAATTGATTCTCGATGATTTTCTTTATTCTCTAAACTTTCCTGCTTGACAATCTATTGATCCTGTTAGGATAAATATGATCTTGATCTACCTGACAGTGTTCATGCCAGTTTTCCATGTCCCTACAATCCTCTATACTCCGGTGCACCTACAACAATATACAATAAATTTTATGAATAACACAAAACTTAAAATTAAAATTTTAATGACAGTTGATAGGTAGTTGTCTTTTTAGCAGATATAACAAAACTCGGGAAAATAGGTCCGCAATGCGTACTTGTGGTGTCATGCCTAGTTTTATTCCATTCGGTTGGAGTGTTGTTTTTAAGTGTCAGTATCTGGGAGTTGAATTGCTACAAGTAGAAGAAGGCAAGTCGTTACCAATTTTAAGTGGGAAATTTAAGGAAGAAAATGAATCATAAACAGCACGACAGAGTGATTAAGAAATACAAGATAACTTACCTCGAACAAATACTACTAATTTGTGATGGAAAGCTCTTCAAAATTTTTTCGCAAAAGGTAAAATGGCTGCAATTACACAATGATGATACGCCAGAGGCAATGGCCGACGAAACAACTCGAAAACAATTACTAGTACTCAGTCTACCTGTCAGACAATCAATTCTCCCCGAGGTCTGTCACCTGTCATCTAGTCCTCAAAGTGACATCACCTCAGGATCTGCCTCTGACTTTGTGGTCTGTATGCATATATTTATATGCATAAGACCACAAAAACCATTGGTTTTTTTTCTGAAAATTGTAGCGGCTGAAAACAATGAGTGACAAGGAACACTCTGAGAGTGAGTTCTACTACTCTGACGAGCTACAATTTCAGGAGAACAGCCAATTCACAGTGTTGAACTATAACCGACTTGGTGGAAGGATGAAGGAAACAGCCAAGAGGCTTTTCATAGGCCATATAATAAAGCCATATAAAAAAGACTGTATTGGTTTGAGATTTCCACATAAATACCTCATTCTCGGTTAATAAGTAATTAATATAGCTCTCTTATCTGAAATCATCCAGCTTACCTTGCTAAGTTCACTCTGCAAGTGTTCCCACATTTTATAAATCCCACAAGCATTGGTCCAGTTATGGTTGATAGAAATGGTGTCCTCCTTGAAATAGAACATAAAAGTGTTTTATTTATTCTGTCAATATGGAGGTCATTTGTAGGTCACAAATTCACGTTTACTCACCAATTTACCTATGAAAGATTTTCTTATTATAAATGGTACCTAAGCCAAACCTTTGATAAAAGAAAGTCTTTGACTCAAGGTTACCATGTATCTTCATGGTGAAACATTTTCAAGTTTTGTTTTTCACATAAAAGTAAGCTTTAAGCTATGAGCTTTCAGACAAAGAAGGAGAAAATTCAAGAGGTAAAAGTTTCTTACTCGTTAACAGATAATTATTGATATTTTCTCAAAACTTTGCTATTACTTTATTATTACTTGCTATTACTATATTATTACTTTATTATTACTTTTGCTGGATGGAGACATTTGAGGAGTTACAACTCAAAGGAGATTTGTCAGATTTCAGTCGAATTTGGTCAGTTGAAAGATTAACCTATTGTGCACTATACTGTGTTGGGAAATTTGACAATTTAACAATATATTTTGTTAAGAGTAATTTCTGTGCATTCACTCTGTAACTTTTTACAGCAACTGTGAAAATGTCTGTAACTTTTGAATGCAATTAAACAAAGGGAAACCCCAAAATGCTTTTTAACCGTTTGGGTTCCTCACCTTGAGGAAAAAATACAATTCCCAAAGGATAAAAATCATGTTGAGTTGGAACTTAAAACAGATGATTTATAACTTCCAGTTTAGAATTTGCGGAAAATTTTAATCATGAGGTGCTAAATCCATTGGACTGAATTAAGACACCCATGAAGGTACACGGTAACCTTAATCAACTTTCCAATCTTTCCAATGCAAACTTCATCAAACTTACCAAGTTTATAACTTGATGGTGCCAACCACTGAAATTAAAAAACGTTTATATCAACTCACTCAAACATATAATTTTTGTTGTTTTTGTTGAAAAAGTTTATGCTTATGAAGAAGGTTCAAGCTATAATTATCAGTTCCTTTTTAATAGACGCCAGTTAGAACATAGGGCATCACCCAGTTTTGATCATGTCCATCCTTTGCAAGCCATACAGTTAAGGTTAAGGTTTAAAGCCTGAAGTTCTGCCTCTACAGTCCTCCCCCAGGTGGATTTTGGACGGTGTCTTCTCTGTTTATCCTCTGTTTTAAGCTTTGAGGACCCTTAGTAGTTAGTAGATTGAAGTTGTCTTTACCGGTAGAGCTCGAAATATTGCTGCAGTCGTAGTTTCACTCATAATAATAATATGTAAACTCAAAGGGTGGTACATCAGCACCAGATGAATCCTTTCTTCGTTGTTATGGATATGGATACATTTCTCAAGTGCTTCTTCGCAGATAATGGAGGCTACCCTTAACCGATCGTTGAGAAGTAAATCAGAGGGAAAACCATGGCTTTCAGAGAAGGGTCATATCTTGGCATTCCTGAACAAAGTCATTATCTTTGGAGCAAAGATCGAGAAGGTGCAAAAACTGGGAGCACAGAATCTGTTTTCTCAGTGGTGCGGATAAGAGGGCTGCCAGGAGTATAGTACTCTGCAGGCACAGTCCAATGCCAACCTACCATGCCAAGGTAGCAGTCTCAACGTGATGACCATTGCAACTAATAATTTTTTTATTTATTTGCAATGTAAATTCACAGAATGGTGAACCCATTTGAACTATTCTTTAATCAGTTTGCATTGTAGTATATGATCTTAGGTTATGTTTTGGTAACAAAGAATAGAGAGAAGACTATACAGGAAATTTTTATTTTCTGAAAAAATTGGAACATATACTTTGAGCAGTATCTTAAAATTCAATAGTCTTAAGCGCTACGATACCTCGGGACAAAAATGACCTCTCCCTCTCTCTGTATGACTGTGATTGGCTTTGAGGCTTTTTCAAAGTCTGGGAATTGATGTCTGTCATTCATGTCATCTGACGTGATGTCATATACAAGGTTGCCTAGCCTGTCAGTCAAATATTTTTCTTGACCTGGTGGATAAATCAGCCACTTCTTGCATCCACAAATGTTTGCAGACCAACTATAAGACCTTCAAAAAAAATGCTTTAATAAGAAATTCCTCTTTGCATTTAAAAAGAGAGAAGTGGTAGTCAGGAGCTAACATTGTGACACAATGGTTTGACACTGGCTGTTGCTTGAGCCCTCATCAGTTGATGAAGGCTCAAGCAACAGCCAAAATGTCTTGAACAAAACATCAAAAAATAGTCAGTGTCAAACCATTATCTTACCATGAAACTCCTTTCTTTGAATGTAATGATTTATATGAGCGCGTATTATACTAGGCTTTGTGACACTAACGTGAGTGTCATATACATGTACACATTTTTGTTATATAGATATGAGTGTTTTACTTAACAAATAAAGAAGCCTAAGCTGTGTGTTTCACTGTAATAACACATGACAGGCATTTGAGAACTCAAGTGTTCTCAAATGTCCGGAGTGTTTTATCACAGTGTAATACACAGCTTAGGCTTCTTCATTTGCTCTTCACTTGCTTTATGATATAGAGGTAATGTGGCAAAAAGCAATAAAACCTGCTTTTTCTATGTTTTACACTCTGATTAAACATGGGTTTTTGACCAAACAGAGCACACGCAGGGTCTATATTGTAATGGAAAATAAACTACTGATAAAATTCATACAAAACCTTGTCTGTGACCTACTGAAAGGAGGGTCACTTGAAATTTTCAATTTTCGGCTCCTTCATTGTAACTGTTTGAAAATATTAATTCTCCCTCACAAGTGTATATGGAAATTTGCAATTTTGCACTGGTTAAGAATCACTTAGATTTTTCACAGTTGTTTGTGCAAACATTCAGTTCGTCTATATTATAAAAGTTTGTGTCACAGTGAAACTTGGAAAATCGGAACTCTAAAAATATGTTGAGAATGTTTATTGTGGCCAATCACAAGTGAAATCCATTGGTCACAAACCAATGCAATGTGCCGGGCTGACATGACTGGCGGCCCTTGAATCACTCAAGCGCAAACAATCCAAATCAGTGCTCTCATTATTTCACTTTGTTATTTTGTTAATGACAAAAAACGACAAGTAATAGTGATGAGAATGGAAGTCTTTCATTATATTTTTGTAATTTGGGAAGGAACAGCAGAAAATTGAGGTATTTCCAAAATTAGCAAACATTTGGATTTATCACTGCCATTGCCCAATCTTTCCAGGGTCTTTAGAAGGATTGTAATACTTACTTGCTAAAATAAATTGAGTTAACCAAAGACAATTCTAAGGTTAGTGAAACCACCAAAATTTTGAAGTTTTAACCATCCCTATTCATAGCCACATCAAATTAACCGTTACATCACTTGAGTAACCTTACGCCGGCGGGATTGTTGTTTTCCAAAATCCCTAAAACTAAGTCCTGGCTATGGTTCTCGATACAAAAGAATAGCGATTATTTAGACTTTCAGTAATATATAAAGACAGAGGGTGTATCTTGGTTTTGTGACTGATGGAATACATCGGTTTTCTGTGGTTTCTGTGACTGAAAATCTCGCTTGTGATTGTTTAAAACACAGTAAACATTCCAGACATATTTTAGGTGTTCACAGTTTTCTGACTTTCAATGTAAAAACAATATTTTACTCAGTCACTCTCATATCCTCTATATACTGGCAAAAGCAATGAATGAACAACAGCGTTCTCATAAGTGCAGTTCAAGGAAGTTCTTAACAAACCATTTAGTAGTATACCTGAACACATCTGCATGAAAGGGGGTCCTAGAGAAAAAAAGAACAAATTAAAACAACAACAAAACTTAAAATTGATAATTTAATAACTTTTCAGTTTTTTAACTGGATTATGAAAAAACTGTTTTCTATAAACTAGGTTCAACCAAAATTATGCAGGTCATTCAATGAGGATGGGGTCCACCTCAGTTAAAAAATTCAAGCCTACAATATCTTGTTTTTCATGCATGGTTTGCTAATTTGTTGCTCATGTGCCATGCAAGTGTCTGTTGAAGCGTTGTCCCAACATGACTGTTCAGATCAGAAACAAACTCAGATTTTTTGTTTCAAAATCATGTCTTGATGCTGTACTTGATTGAAGTCATTGCATTGCCAGACTTTCAAGAATGCCAGGAATGAAATGTACACACCACTACATGTAAGTGCAAATGATAGTGGAGAAGAAATGTTTATAAACTTCTGACCTTACCAACTGCCTTTAGGACCCATGTAGACAAACCGGTAATCATCAGCTACGTCACTACGCTGGTCCCAAAACTCATTCAAAAAATCAGATTTAAAATAGACTGGTGTTTCATAGGCATTGTAGGCTGGAAATGCTCTGAGGAATGAAATGAGCTAATAGTAAGAATGCAAAGTTGACAGTTACTCTTGGGTTTCTATTTCACACATGAGACAGGTAATGACCTTTAATCATAGGCATAGACTAGTGACACACTTAATATTCACCCTGGACATGCAACTTTCTGACCTTTTGATGGTGGTGAAGTTTTCATATCATAATGATCGCAAGAGCCATGTTGCCTTGGCTCCTAGAAGGTTCAACCATTCTAGATTAGTCATGAAATCAATGATCACCCCCTGCAAAAACTCAGAAGATTCCACGAACCTTCTTAAAGGGACATATGGTGCAAGTCCTCTCTGTCGCTGCACCCTAGGTGTTCAAACAGGGAAAACGGAAGAGAATAAAGAACACTTTCTTGTTGTAAAAAAACGGAGGCTGAGTAAAAGCATGGCCCTTCTTTGTCCAATAAGAACATGGAGAGGTAATAATTTTAAGTCCTTCAAGAGGCATAAGGGGACAAGATGCTGGCTTCTTCACTATTCTGCAAATTTGCCACCAGACATAGACATGTGTCACCTGACATGAAATAGTTGAAGGTGAATCTCACATAGCAGCCACATTAGAGTTAATACAGAGCACTTGCAATGCCTACCACATCACTGCCTTCTTGTCCCATGCACCATTGAGATTGTGTAATCAAATATAATCATGACAAAGAAAAATATTTTACATCTAAAATAGCAGACTTACTTACAAAAATGCCAGTCCTTTAGGTAAAGTGTCTGAGTATCATTGATACCTATTGATGAGATTTTTAAAAAAGTTTCAGTTTCCAGTTAAAAGTCACTGACTGTTGAAATGTTTGTTGTATCCAAAACTGTGCATGAAAAAATAACTTTGTCATTTGACTATCTGAATGAGTGTAAGGCTTCTTCAGTTTGAAATAGAGTCATGGTTGAGAACTAAACAATTCTATTACTGTTACAATGTGTTTTGTTTATGTCTTTGTGTCAGTACACCATGCTCATAACTTTATCTTGACAGCCCCCTCAGTAGGACCAAGACATTATTTTTCACATTTTTTTCAGAAGCTTACATCAGGATATAATAATGTTATCATTAAAAATAAACAGATGAACACATAATGAATAGTTCTAAAATATTCACATTTGATACCATATCATCTGAGGATATCTGAACACAAGAAAGACCAAAACACTGGGCTTTTCTGTCCTTCTAATCATGCCCACCATCTGCTTTGCATAAACTATCATTGTTTATGATCACATGATCAGATTATGTAAGCCATACAGTCACAAATTTCTTATACATTTTGAGTGACTCTTCACTCAAAGCAATTGACATCTAGCCAATGTGCATCATGTTGTATTTATAACTGTTCCAAAAACATGTTGATCATGTAATCCTAGTGAACACTAATCAAATGGCATTTTCAAACCATGGTGCCTGTCTGCATTTTTTGAGGTACACATTAACTTATGGAAAAGCTAACAAGGAGAACAGTATGCAGCAGGTGACAATAATACCTTGAGACCTGTTCCTCCAATAGTCACAAAACTGTTTGACTGACATGTCTTCCTTGACTTGGCTGCCATATTTTGTTTGACAGCAGTTAGCAACAGGTGCTATAGCATGACCTGTTTGGAACACACATTGAATATAGACGGATCAACTCCAATTTCCCCTTGTTAAATCTCTCAAGAGAGTTCCATTCCAGGTGAATATATGAAAGATAGTGAAAGAATTTTAGTATTTTATCATCCATTGTAATTTAATATATTTTCCTTATATTGGTTTCGTTATCGTTTTTTTCATTTTTATTCTGTAAGAGCATTGAGATTTTTTAATGTAATGCGCTAGAAATAAATTATTATTATTATTATTATTATAATAAATTTGAACTATGGAAAAAGATGTAAAGATGAGGGTGATCATCACAGTTATGTACACAACTTAAGCAGCTCTGAAAATAGAGCCTAGAAAAAGACCTTGCAAGCCTGAATTTTTTTAATGCTTTATTTTCTCAGTAACCCATGTACAACCACCTCCTTCCCTAAAAAAAAAAAATCAGGAAGAGAGATGTCTGTGTAGCAGCGTCACTAATATCGTGTTTCTCACTCAGGGTGGTGTTCCTGGAATGTTTGGAACATAGGGCAATTGGTTGTCATTAGTGGTGGGCCGATGATCGATTATAATCGAAAGTTGATCGAAAAGTTCAAACGACACAACAATCGATTATGCTTTTTTCATAATCGATTGTCGTGGAAAAATTAAAAATTTATTGGGGACAAATAAAAGTATCAAAATCAATAAAAATGTATGTTTAATATATTCGTGTGAGTTGTCTTTTTTCGTGGACTCCTAACTTCTAAGTCATAACAGCAGATATAGTCTAAGATTGAATGTGTTAGCCTGTGCATACCCTGCGCACTGTGTTGTTGTCACTTCAAATACACCACGCTTATTTGAAAGATTTGGCATGCTAAGCTGCTTTGCATTTTGTAAACAACTGAACAAAACATAAATTACAAGCTCACCGTTTCACGTTTGTAGTATCACTACTATCACCAGCAAATGAAAGGTATTAAGAAACAACATTGCAGCGAAAACTCGCCTCAAATTAATTCCCAGGGTCTTCTTTCAGACCTGCCTCATTTACATATTGCTGACGAGTCCAACATGGCGGCTGAAATGGCCGAGTTGGAGATCTGTCATAATCCTGGAAACACCAGGTCAAAAGTGTGAGAATATTTTGGTTTTTATGAAGTGAAGAAGGGCCCAAAACAAAGGAAAACTTGGATATGACGAAGGTAATCTGTAGGCTCTGCAGAAAGCAATACGCCAACAAAGGTCTGTGGCACGCGTGTTTTGTTGATTTCGTGTCAGTCTCATGGAATGCTTATTGGTAGATTTTTCCGATTATAATCCATGATCGATCGATTGAGGCAATCCGATTATTTCCGATGATTGATTGTGAAATCTCAATCGATTCCCACCACTAGTTGTCATACCAATCTGCATTACATAAGACATTTCCCGTCTTTTGATTGGTCAATCGATCACTTTCTCCAAATGCCACGGAGGTTATGGAAACCAGGCATTTTCGAAGGTACACGCCACAAGAAGTTTGTGCCAACCCGCAGAATGTCGATTGAACATACTCATATATGTATGAGTTGCGCTAGCAGCTACAGATGCACAGAAAATACCGGCAACTGATGACGATCGAAACCATAGTCTTGCCTGAACAAAGCATGTACAACTCGAAATTCAGTCAACAGAATTGTGCATAAGCACCTACACCTGCCATGAACTATTTTAAATACAGACTCATAGTTACCAAATTCCTTTGACAAATAGTCTAGGTCAGGCTTCCCGTCTTTCACCCATTCCTTTCGACTTCTCCAGTGTTGGGTGAGTTCGCTGGAAAATATGCAAAGCTGATTTGTTTCCAAAAAAAATTCAAAAAACTCTCTGCACTTAATAGCTCCGATACGCTTTAGATCATCCATGAACTAGGTCTGCATTCTTGCTACTTTGCAAGTTTTTCAAGCCACGTTGTTCCGCCATGTTGTTTTGATGCCCCATCTCGTTCCCAGAGCCTTCGTTACCCTTGTCCAGCGGAACGGATAGGGGTAACGAAGGCTCTGGGAACGAGATTGCCCCAACTATTACGGCGCATCCTCAAAACAAATTGCCGCTAATTGACTGGCGGCGCAATTACCTCTTCTCCAGGTCTTCCGCGGACTGAGCGCGCACTTCCTTCATAAACATGGCGGCAACATTTGTAATTTCAAGATCTAGCGTTTTTGGAAGAATAAGGGGCTTGAATCAGTTTTCTAACCATAAATCAACGTTTACTTCGACAAGGAAGAAAAAATCCAACGCTGCCTTTTTACTTGGATTTGGACTTGCTGGATTGGTAGGATTTTCAGGAATTTTATATGGAAAGAAACAGAGGAAGAAGATTACAGCCACAAGTGTCGAAAAGGATAGTCTTGCGGAGGAACATTGCTCCTCACAGTCAGTTTCTGTATCCTTTTACTACCAGGTGCCAGATTTCATCTTTTATAGTGTGGTTCGCACACGCCTTGAAAAGTCCTGAAAATGCCATATCCTTGGAAATTTAGATTTCCTCATTGAAACGTCCTGGTTGACAAGTCCTTGAATGTTATAAACTAGTAATAGTTATCACTAAATCTGCCCCCGCTTTCTTTTATTTCTGCTGATTGAAAACAATAAGTATTGAACATTTTTGTATGAACTAAGAATTTTCTTTTTTTTTGTAAACTATATCACTCTGACATACTGTTCCAGTAACTTAGGCATCTTACCATGAATATGATCCAAACAATCAACTAAGTTAACTAAACCAACACATTCTGTTTAACTCATTCTATCACTTGATATTCTTTACATAATACTCTCATGAGAGCATTTACAGCAGAGCAGTTTACCGTATCTCATTAGAAAAGATGCGAAGAGTACTTTCTGAAAAAAAATAGGTTGCCTTCATGGAAACTAATATTTCTTTTACAAAAATTTCACTCAGTAGAACTTTATAGGGGAAAAAAGGTTGAAAAATTATAGCAAAACAAAAATTAAGTCAAACTACTCTGCTGTTCCGAAACAAACCATTTGTCTTGATATACGAGCAAACATATCTCGAAAGCAGAACAAAAGTCGATTTTTTTTTGCGAGATGTAAACAGAAGTATCGCGTTGCAGTCGCCATATATGCAAATTAGAGTCAAGCTTTTTGACCTCAACGAAAACGCTGCAAAACATTTACATTTATATTTGGATCCCTGCAAAGTCACGCAGCCCACACATGAGTCCTACGCCACATAGGATTACTCAATACAACTAAGCAATCTGAATAAACGAGATGCTTAAGGTAAAACTGGCAATCGGAAGAGTATTTAGCTATTTAGTTGCAATTGAACCACACTGGCCTCAAATTTCTAGTATACTTCAGAATTTCTTATGATACCTTCTGAGTTGTTTTTCTCCCAAAATCCATCTTCAGGATCTTTGAAATCATTTTCAGTTTGTCCTAGATGAGAATCTCAGCCATTTCGAAGCAAATTTATTTGATCGCGCTAAAATCGTCATGCAGGCCATATTGTCAAATCAGTCATTAGAGTGTATTTTTGACCTTGAAATGCTGCTCAAAGATGGCAAAACGCAAACTCGTTGTTACGAGAGCCTTGAAATGCTGCTAGAAGATGGCGAAACGTGAACTCGTGGTTGCAAGAACCTTGAAATCAAGAATTTCATGTACCCGACACCACCTAGGCTGGGCTCGATTTCCAGCCGTTTTGTGAGCCCATGTTCCTTGCCCCACATTGCCCGACCACCGTGCACACCTAGTTTCATCAAATCGAGAACGCTTCGCATACAACCACCACATTTCTTACTTTTTTTTTTAAATTCTTGTATGTATACACGTGGGGAATCCTAGGGTCCTCAGGTTTTGGCCTCTGGGCTAAGACCCTGCAGGGGCAATTATATGAAGTAAATTAATTATAATTAATTTTTATTAATTATTAATTATATGAAGTGCCTTACAGGACCTTTTTATTGCAAAATAACATTACATTACCATACAAAAATTATCAACATTGCTTGTGATATTTACTCTACTTACAGTGCTAACATAGCTTACAATACAACCAACAATACTATACAGAAACTTACATTTAGATAGCTACAATAAGTGGCATCTTGAGTCTTAAGTGCAAGCATAATGACATGTATACTGCATTCTGTTAACAAAGTTCTATTAAGAGGTCTGGCACATGTCAATGAAGTGAACCAAAGTAGATTTACAGTATATAATCATGACCAAGATGTGTTGGGTTATGGTACAATATCAAATGAATGTTTTCATAATATTTATGATAGTTTCACTGTTGGAGTAGCAGTTACTACAAGGAGGGACACGGAGGATGTACACCCCAATTTCAGAACGAAGTATATATTAATTTTCTGTGAACAGTAGATTTCATACTCACATCCCAAAAATGTTTTTTTTTTCAAGTTTGTCTTTTTCTCTGGCCTGTTGTATATTTAAAAATAAATGTCTTATAATAAATTATGTTGGGGTGGTATGATATTTATATAGGGACGTAATGATAAGGGAGGGGGGTTGCTGAGTTGCTTAGCAGGTTATCATTCAACTTTGAAAATCTTAAACACTGTGGTATGAAAAAGAAATCAAATATATCCTTAACCATTGCATCAGAATGTTGAAGAAACAAATAGAAATTATTGCTCATCTTGGACCCTACAATCTACAATAGAGGAATCACAATCCATCATTAGGTGTATGAAAGAAGAGACTGGCTCTCCTGGAGTTTGTGTAGCTGTGAGCATTGATGGGAAAACTGTGTGGAGTGAAGGATTTGGCTTTGCAGATGTAGAAAATAGAGTATTATGTTCCAGCAAAACTGTTATGAGAATTGCAAGCATTAGTAAACCTCTTACTGCAACAGCTGCAGGTGAGTGATGTGATTCCTTTTGTATGTAGTTCTTTTAAAATTGTTTGGGTGATATTTTGCAGGAAAAAGAACACTTAAGGCTAAGAGGTAGAAGAATGATATGTTCATGTTGTTAAATTAATATATTTAAGTACCTGTGATGATTATAAATAAATTTTGATAAATAATTAAAAGATTTTTTTTCAACAAAGAAATGAATTTTGATCATTATGTTTGTTTTATAACTACAGTGAAACCCCATTAATCCGGTCACCAATGGGCCACAAAAATCTGGCCGTATTAATGGGGTGGTGGCATTGAAGGGATTCTTAAAATAAGAAAATGACATGACTGAGTGTTTGTTCAGATTAATGTTGCAGTTCTTAGGGAGTAATGCTTTAATTATCCCGACAAACACAGGCAATAAACACGCGTTCTATGGCATAAAGGGGGGAACACCGCTCCGCAATCGGTGTGACAGACGAACTTCCATTGTGTGACCAAATGCCAAACTTATCTCCCCAGCGGTCAATTCTGCACTGGATCGGACAAGTCGGTGAGGCCAAAAGCTTGCGCGTCTTATTAGCGTAACTCTAAACGGCACTACGAGCTGACCTCC